GTGACAGTGAGCCAGTTTGCCGAGCAATCGTCACACCAGCATCCAGCACGGATGACGAAATCGCGGCAATTAACGACTCAGACCCGGACCGACAAGCCACCACCGCATTAATTACGACCCCAGCGGTGATTGCGAGAACTGTTAATCGCAGTGCGCATACGGTCCCACGGCAGCCACGTGCTATAAACACTGCACTCCTGGTGCCACCGTCACCTTTATCTGCGAATGTCTCTGAGGATGGATTCGAGTGAGGATCCGAAACGTCAGGCAAATCAATTTCTTGTTCCAGTGATCGCATCTTCATCTTCTGACCTGGGTTGTATTAGTCGCCTTTCTATTCGCTGTGGTGCTGAGTTTATCATCCGATATGCGCGTGACGAGCACGTCAAGTAAGGGTACTTCCTCAGCCTCCTCGCCTTCTTTTATAAACTGAATGTCGGGGAAAATGCTGTTAAGCATGCCTTGAAAACCCGGTGGCCTGTCCCTCTGAAAAATGACGAATGTGTCGTCCACGTATCGGCGCCAAAACGCAGGTTTGTAGGGGCACTTGTAGAACATAGTCCGCCACTAGGCTGGATATTGCGGAACCCATAGGTGTTCCTCTGGTTTGTTCGTATGTACTGTCATAGACGGTGAAAAAGGCTAGTTAGCAGAATGCAAAGAGCTGCATTAGGTGCTGGAGTTTTCGGAGCTCTGTCGTCTCGTCGTACTTTTCTTTGAGGCGTTTGCGTAGCACGTGGCACACCAAATCCGGTGGAATGGACGTGAAAAGTGAGACAACGTCGAAGGATACCATGATTTGGTCGGGGTCGAGTAGTTTTTCCCCGAATGTCGACAAGGAAATGCGAGGCCGAATCGACTGACGTAACAGAGCCCTCTTAGAGAAAATTGAGTTTTCGGGGTATCCGTTTGGCTAGATTGTATGTGGGGCTGCCTTTTAGGGAAACGATTGGTCGCAGAGAGACGTTGGGTTTGTGGATTTTTGGTAGTCCATAGAATCTAGCCAATGCATGTGTTATTCGTCAAATAAGATTGCATTGTTGCACCGGAGTCTGCTTAAGAGTTCGGTCAGCTGCCCAGTCATCGATCTGGCCTGCGAGGCGGGCGTGAACTTGTCGGACTGTTGGTCGTCCAGGAGAGCTTGTGTCTTCTCGTTGTAATCAACGCGGTCCATCACAACGGTTGCTCTTTCTTTGTCAGCCGGTAGCATTTTACTATCTTTGTCCATTTTTAATTTCTTCACTGCTTCTATTTCTGCGGGTGACATGTTGCTAACGTACCTGTTCGTCATCAGGAAAGACGTAACATTTTGGCGCACCGTGTATTTAGCCTCAACGGTTGCTTTATTTTGTTGAAAACAAGCATGTACAGCAGAATTTATTGAGGCCAATAAATTTCGTGACGGCTTTTAACTGCAGCCCGTCTCTGCATAACATAGGTAACGAATGAAAGCGCACAGCAGTATGAATTTGTACAGAATGGCAGGGCATAAGGGCAAGGTCAAAGTTCAAAACAATCAATAATCAGATAAGACGTCCAAATAAGCATCAAAAAGGAAAAAGGGAGACGAAATGCTAACAACAAATCACAGTCAGGGGGAAAATAGAGGCGTGAGATTACCAGGGCAATTGCAGATTGATCACGTGATCTAACTGCTTGCACAGGTCTGGTTTCTCCCTCCGTATGTAGGCTGCTTCCAAATAACGCAAGGTTCGAGTTGTACGTGCTCGGACAAGTACTCGAAAGGATGCTTTAGGGTCGACAACATTACCGTTATCTAACAGGTGTTTCGTTATAGACGAACGGGGGTTCTATTTTCCTGTTTGAAAAGCCAATTAGGCAAATGCTCAGCGGCCCTGGTTGCCAATTGTCTTTGCGTTCGCCCAATGTACTTGCATCCGCAAGTGCATGTGAATTCATACACACAATTGGGGGTGGCGTGCATTGTTTTCAATTCATACCCGGGAAAAAATGCTTCAAGCTCTATTTTGTGTCAACACGGCCTTAAGTGCGGCAACGAAGTCGGCTAGGGTGATATCAGCAGGGTTAGAATTGGCTTCGTGACGCAACACTCTGAGTTCCGGTTCGCTTAGCTGCTTCGACGATAAGTTGTGTACTACATTTTCGTTGGTATTAATTGCGGGTTTCAATTTGACGACCTTTTGGTCCGACATCTCATCACCAACATTCCAACCTCTAGCGATGTGGATTCGGTCCACACCAGTCCTCATTGCGATCGTACACTCACCTCACACATCGGTCTGGTCGATCACCTACAAATCCATCGTACAGAGACTGGCGAACCAGTGCCTGGGACGGCATCCGCCTCCGCTGCCCTCGCACTTTCACTCACCTAGTAGGACATATTCGCACTCGCGAAAACCTGCAGTAGACAACCGCCGGCTCCATCGACCTATCACACTTTCTCCTACCACCATCCGCATCTCCCAGCACCATCACCCGTCACAAGCACCCAATTTCCACCCCTCACACAAGTGGGAAATGTGTTTCTCGGTTTCTTCCCCATGTGGCTGCATGTATGATCTGTGTCTAAGACTACCAGGGTGCGTCAAGCGCCGTGGCATGGACGACTGACGCCTTGACTCAGTCCACGCAGTCTGCCCAATTGTGTACATTTGTGTGGAGTGGCGGACTGGTAGGCTAAGAGCCAGGATGTCACGGCTCTTTCTTAAGTCATCTGTGGCACTTTCACGCATGGGCTGAGTGCGTGTGTGCTTCGTGGATGGCGCCTCTCAGTTGACGACTTAAGGGTGACGGCGCAGACAAATGCAGGACCACGTGTCACCCTTCTGGACCGAAGGGTCTGCAAACGCCTGCTGTGCCAGGATCAGCAAACCATCACACGCACAGCCTGGCGTGCGTTAGCGGTCCTCCGGTGCCACGTTCCCTGCCGGCAGATGCGCTTGCGTTTCGCTGGGTATACAGGTCGTGAGCATGGCTACCGAGTCATCCTGCCCCCTCCTCCTCCTCCTCCTCCTCCTCTTTCTGACCCCTCATGATGTTGTTGTTGTTGATTAAAATCTTGGTCAGTCGTTTTGACCAGCGGGTGTGGGGTAGAACGCCAAAGTGAGGGCTTGGTCGTGCCATCCACCCGCGTCCGCCTCGGCCTCTGGTCATGTTGACTGTCTTGACACCGGGTTCAGGTAGGGGAGGGAGGACCGAGTGAGGTAGATGCACCTCAAGTCTGCATTATTTATAAATTGATTCACGGGAAAGTCAACGTGTCTGCTGCACCTAGTTGTGTAGCACACGGTGGACATCGCCCGATGCGACAGTCGAAGTGTCTATGGAGACCGTCATAATTGATGGCAAATGCTAAGGAACACACTCAGCCGTCATTTCATGAGATTACACACGGCCATGATCGCAGAAAACTAGTGCACATCATCTCCGACCACGGTTGCCGGCGGCATGGAGGGGAGCTGAGAGAGCGACACTAGTAACTGTCTCAGTATGGTTGTTGGATTTCTTCGCTCACCGTTTAGATTTCGGCAATCAGTTAGGGCAGCGTCTGGAAGGACTGCAGGCTTCGGACGGAAACGTCGCCGTAGACACAGTTGTGCTAACCACGGAATGCGGTCCACTCCATCGTCCTAGACGACGAAAGATATGAAGAGATCCGCAATCCACTCGCCGAAAAGCAAAGGATGTACAAAGTCTGCCCCGAGCTGGAAACGAACAGCGATCTGGATCGCCCGCTTTACCGTCCAGAAACAATCAGCCACGCGCCAGCTGTCGATCGGGAAAACGCCGGGATCCGACGCGATCCCCGCTAATGTCTACAAGCGTGGGGGGCCTCCACAAATGGGCAAAGTTACAACGACATTTCATGAGATGTGGTACCAAGAACAGTTTCCCCAGGGTTTCAAGAACACAAAAATTGTCCACCTCTACAAACGAAAAGTGGAACCGGCGATTCTGCAACAACCACCGAGGCATTTCCCCCCTCAACACCGCAGGGAAAATCTTCGTGCGTGGCTTTCTTAATAACTTGAACACCCACCTGGAAAAGGGACTCCTCTCCGAGAACCCAGTGTGGCTTCCGACGACACCGCAGAAATACCGACATGATCCCTGCCGCCTGCCAGCTACAAGTGCCAGATGCTAAACCACCTCTACACTGCCTTCGCGGTCCCGATGAAGGCCCTCTACACGGCGAATCGCTATGGACTCTGAAAATCGTGTACAAATCTGGTTTGCCAGAACAATGTACACATGTAGCACGTTAGCTCCACGACAGCATGGCGGCGCCACGGAGTCTAGGAAGCATTCGCAGTGACCGGTGAGGTGAAGCAAGGCTGCGTACCCGCTCCCACTTGCTTCATGTTGCTGGACGTCTGCCGGGGGGGGGGGCGTTCTGGAACTAGCATCGCCTATAGGACCGACGGCCGGCTTTCCGACACTCGACAAATGGGAGCGTCCACGCGGACATCGGCAACCACCGTCGATGAACTTTCCTTCTCAAACGACTGGGCACCCAGTGCCACAAAGGAATTGGCTATGCAAAGAAGCACGGCCCTCTCCTCCAGCCGCGCAAATTTCTGACTGTCAACAAAGACTAAGCAGTGGTCATGCACCAATCAGAACCACAGTAGGAAGATACCGCGTCCAGTATAAACGTGAATGGAACGGGCCTTGTATCCGTTGACACGTGTGTCTACCTAGACAGCGCCATCTCAAATGGCACCAAGATAGACAACGAAGTGGCCCACCGGATCTCCAAAGCCAGAGAGGCGCTCGGTGGATTGCAGTCCTCAGCCTGGAACAACCACGGGCTTCGACTCAGCACGAAACTTAAAGTGCAGAGGGTGGTGGTTCTGGTGATGCAATCTCATGAATTGGAGACGCAAATCAAGCCGGGAAACTTAATAGCTCCCACCTCAGTTGTCTCCGACGGATACTAAAGTTGAGGTGGTAGGAGAGGCAGGATCCAGGACACTAAAGTCTTGGAGCGGACCGGAATCCTCAGTACCCACGCCATGCTGCGGCAGCTACAACTGCGAAGGAGCGGTCACCCGGTGGGAATTGACGAGTGCCTATCAGAGCGAATCCCCTTCCAACATATCCACAGTCAACATTGCGAGCACGGATCAACCCCGTCTAAAACTCCACCTGCTCCCTCCGCAAACGTCCCCCTCCTCATTCTCACACGAACCGCCGCGGCGGCGGCCACCACAGCGGCCGCCGTCGGTCACACTCCTGATGCTTCAACCGGCGTCGCCGAACTCGCCATAATCATCCCTGCCTAAACTCCCACGACGACTA